GTAGCAGGGTTCAGAGGTTCAGGGCTACAAGCATAGAGAAGTAGAGGGGCTCAAGGGTTGAGGGGTAGAGGGATTCAGGGGTTAAGAAGTAGAAGGGTTCAGGGGTTCAAGGGTAGAGGGGCTCAGTGGTAGAGGGGTTCAAGGGTAGAGATGTACGGGTAGAGGGGATCAGGGGTTTGGGGTAGAGGGGTAGATGGGTACAGAGGTTCAGGGATTTAGTGGTAGAGGGGTCAAGAGGTTGCGGGGTTCAGGGGTCCAGAGGTAAAGGGGTTCAGGGACACAAGGATAGAGAAGTAGACAGGTTCAGGGGTAGAGGGCTAGAAGGGTAGAGGGGTAGAGGCATTCAGGGGAAGAGGGGTTTAAGCAAAGAGGGGCAGAAGGGTTCAGGGTTTTGAGGTAGAGGGTTCAGGTGTAGAGGGGTAGAGAGATTCAGGTATTCAGGGATAAAGTGGTAGAGGGGTAGAGTGGTTCATGGATAGAGGGATAGATGGGTAGAGGGGTTCAGGGGTTCAGGGTTAGACAGACTGATATAATGGTTCAGGGGTAGAGGGATTCAAGGGTTCATGGGCAGAGTGGTTCAAGGTTTCAGGAGTAGAGGGGTTGAGAGGACGAAGGTTCATGGTGTCAGGGTTTCAGAGATAGAGGGTTTCAGGGGTTGAGGGGTTCACGTGTTCAAGAGTAGAGGGTTTCAGGGGTAGAGGGGTTCTGGAATACAGGGGTAGAGAGGTTCAGGGGTAGAGGCATAGAGGAGTACAAAGGTAGAGATATTCAGGGGTTCAGGGGTAAAGGGGTAGAGGGGTAGAATGGTTCAGAGATAGAGGGGGTAGATGGGTAGAAGGGTCCACGGGTTCAGGAGTAGAAGGGTTAATGGGTTCAGAGGTAGAGGGGTTCAGGGTTAGAGGGATAGAATGGTTCAGGGGCAGAGAGGCAGAAGGACAGAGGGGCAGGGGGCAAAGGGGCAGAGGTGCATAGGGAGGGGCTTAGGTGAAGAGGGACAGAGGGCAAGAGGGGTTCAGTGACAGAGGGTTTCAGGGGTAGAGGGATATAATGGTTCACGGGTAGAGGTGTAGAGGGGTAGATAGGTAGAGAAGTTCAGGGCTAGAGAGGTAAGGGGTTCAGGAGTAGAGGAATAGAGAGCTAGAGGGGTAGAAGGGTTCAGGCATAGAGGGGTATATTGGTTCATGGGTTCAGGGGTAGAGGTATAGGGGGTAGAGGAGTTCAGGGATTCAGGGGTAAAAAGGTTCAGGGGTTCAGGGAAGTAGGGGTTCATGGATAGAGGGGTTTGAGGTAGAGGAGTTCAGGCGTGAAGTGGTTCAGGGGGTTAGAGGTAGAGAGTTTCAGAAAAGAAGGGATAGAAGGGCTCGGGGCATAGGGGAAGACGGCCTCAAGGGCTCAGAGGGTCAGAGGAGCAGAGGTGCAGAGGGGCAGAAGGGTAGATGGTTAGAGGGATTCTGGGGTCCAGGGGTAGAGGGGTTCAGTGTTACTGGGATAAAGGGATAAAGGGTTAGAGGGGTAGAGAAGTTCAGGGGTTCATGGGTAGAGGGGTAGAATGTTTCAGGGGTACAGGGGTAGAAGGGGTAAATGGGTAGAGGGATTCATGAATTCAGGGATAGAGGCACAAGAGGGGTAGAATGGTTCAGGAGTTCATGGGCAGAGGGTTTCAGGGGTTCAAGTGCAGAGAGGTTCAGGGATAGAGGGATTCTGAGGTACAGGGATAAAGTGGTTCATGGGTAGAGAGGTAGAGGGGTTCAGAGGTTCACAGGTATAGGGGTAGAATGGTTCAGGGGTAGAGGGGTAGATGGGTTGAGGGTTTAGAGGTTCAGAAGTAGAAGGATTCAGGGATACAGATGGGGTAGATGGGTTGAGGGGTGCAGGGGTTCACAACTAGAGGGATAGAAGGGTAGAGTGCTTCAAGGTAGAGGGGTTCAAGGGTAGAGGGGTCTAGGGGGTCAGGAGTAGACGGGTTCAGGGTTAGAGGGATTCAAGGGTAGAGGAGTAGAAGGTTTCAGGGATAGAGAGTTTCAGGGGTAGGGGGGTTCATGGGTAGAGGGGTTCAGGTGTAGGGGGCAGAGGAGATCAGGGGCAGAGGGGATGAATGCTTCAGGGGCAGAGTGGCAGAGGGGCAATGGGTCACAGGGGCAGATGCACAGAGGGAAGAGGTAATCAGGGGCAGAGGGGTTCAGGGATAGAGGGATTTCCTCTACCACTAAACCCATGAATCTCTGAACCCATCAACGCCTAGACCCTCAACCCCGAAACCCTCTACCCCTGAGCCCCTGAAACCCTTTACCCCTCTACCCCACTATGCCTCTACCCCAGAACCCCTCTACCCGTGTATACCTGAAACCTACTCTTAAACCCCTGAAACCCTCTAAGGGTACAAGGGTACAAGGGTAGAGAGGTAGACGGGTTCAGAGGTAGAGGGGTAGAAGGATAGAGGGGTACAGGGGAAGAGGGGTATAGGGGACCAGGGTTAGGGATGTTCAGAGGGTTCAGGGGTTCAGGAGTAGAGGGTTAGAATGGTTGGGGTAGAGGGGTAGATAGGTAGAAGTGTTCAAGAGTTCAGGGGTAGAGAGGTAGAGGGGTGAATAGGTAGAGGGTCAGGGGTTCAGTGGTAGAGGGGGTTCAGGGATACAGGGATAGAGGGGTTAAGGGTTCATGGGTTCAAGGGTAAAGAAGTAGAATGGTTCAGAGGTAGAAGGGTAGATGGGTAGGGGGTACAGTGGTTCAAGAGCAGACGGTTTCAGGGGTACAAGATAGAGGGATTCAATGGTTCAGGGGTTAAAGAGTAGATTATTTCAGGGATAGAGGGGTTCTGGGGTACAGGGGTAGAGAGGTTCTGGGGGTCTAGGGTAGAGGTGTAGAGGGGTAGAAGGGTGGTAGGGTTCAGGTGTAGAGAGGTTAGAGGGTTAGAGTGGTTCAGGGGTAGAGGGGTAAGTGGGTAGAGGGGTTCAGGGGTAGTAAGTTTCAGGGGTTCACGGTTTAAGGGGTAGAAGGGTTCAGGGGTAGAGGCTTAGAGGGATAGAGGGGTAGACAGTTTCAGGGGTTCATGGGTAGGGAGATAGAATGGTTCAGGGGTAGGGGGTGGAGGGATTCAGGAGTTCAGAGGTAGAGGGGATCAGGTGTAGAGGGGCTCAGGGGTACAGTAGAGATCAGGGGTTCAAGAGTAGAGGGGTTCAGGGGTAGAGGGGTTCAGAAGTAAATAAGTAGAGGGATTCAAGAGTTCAGAGGTAGGGACATAGAAATGAGGGGTTCAGGGGTAGAGGGGTCAAGGGGTCGATGGGTTCAGAGGCAGATGGGTTCGGAGGTCCAGGGATAGAGGGGTAGATAGGTAGAGGGGTTCTGGAGTTCAGGGGTAGAGGGGTTCAAGGATACAGGAGTAGAGGGCTTAAGGGGTTCAGGGTAGAGACATAAAGGGGTAAGAGGGATAGAGGGGTTCATGGGTTCAAGGGTAGGGGGGAAGAACAGTTCAGAGGTAGAAGGGTAGATGGGTAGTGGGTACGGGGTAGAGGCGTAGTGTGGTTCAGGAGTACAGGTGTTCAAGAGTAGAGGGTTTCAGGGGTACAAGGTAGAGGTGTAGAGGGATTCAGGGGTTCAAGAGTAGAAGGTTTCAAGGGTAGAGGGGTTCTGAGGTACAGGAGGAGAGAGGTTCAGGCGTAGAGGCGTAGAGGGGTAGAAGGGTTGAGGGGTTCAGGGGTAGAGAGGTAGAAGGATTCAGGGGTTCAGAGGTAGAGGGGTTCATGGGATCAGGGGTAGAAGGGTTCAGGATTTCAGGGGTAGAGGGGTAGAGGGTTTCAAGGGTTCAGGGGGAATAAATAGAATGGTTCAGGGGATAGAGGGGCATGGGGTATATGGGTAGAGGGATTCAAGGGTTCAGGGGTAAAGGGAATCATGTGTAGAGGGGTAGATTGGTATAGGAGGTCAAGGGTAGAAGGGTCAAGGGGTTAATGGGTTCAGATATTCAGGGGTTCAGAGGTCCAAGGGTAGAGGGGTAGACGAGTTCAGTAGAGGGGTATAAGGGTAGAGGGTTAGAGGGGATCAGGGATAGAGGTATTCAGAGGCAGAGGGGTTCAGGGAATGAGGAGCAGAGGGCCTCAGGGGAAGAGAGGAAGAGGTGCTCAAGAAATTATGGGCAGAGGGGCAGAGGGACAGAAGGGCAGAGGGGTTCAGGGACAGAGGGGCAAAGGGCAGAGGGGTTCAGCAGTTCAGAGATAGAGGGATTCAGGGGCAGAGGGGAAGAGGGGTTAAGGGCCATAGGGGCAGAGGGACAGAGGGGTTCAGGAACAGAGGGGCAGAAGGATAGTGGCTCAGGGGTAGAGGGGCAAAGGGGTAGAGGTGCAGAGGGTTCACGGGTAGAAGGCCTCAGGGTTAGGGGGCAGAGGGGCTCAGGGGTAGAGAAGTTCACGGAAAGAGGGATAGAGGAGTTCAGGGGTTCAGGGGGTATATTGGTAGAGAGGTTCAGGGAAGAGGGGTTCAGGGTTAGAAGGGTAGATGGGTTCAGGAGTTCAGGGGTAGAGGGGTTCCAAGGTAGAGAGGTAGAGGGTTCAGAGGTAGATGTGTAAAGGGTTCAGGGGTTCACGAGTAGAGGGATAGAGAGATTCAGGAGTTCAGAGGTAAAGGGGTTCAGGTGTACAGGGGTAAAAGGGTTCAGGGTAGAGGCATAGGGGGTAGAGGGGGAGAAGGGTTCAGAGGTACAGGGGTAGAGGGCAAATGAGCAGAGGGGTTCAGGGGTTCAAGGGTAGACAGGCAGAGGAGTCCAGAAGTTCAGGGGTAGAGGGGTTTATGTGAACAGGGGTAGAGGGGTTCAGGGGTTCTGGTGTAGAGGCAGAGAGAGTTATAGGGGAAGAGGGGTACAGTTCAGGGGTAGAGGGATAGAATGGTTTAAGGGTACAAGGGTAGAGGGGTCAATGGGTAGAGAGGTTCAAGGGTACAGGAGTAGAGGGGTTCAGGGGTAGAGGGGTAGGGGGTTCAGGTTTTCAGGGGTAGAGGGATTCAACGGTTCAGGAGTAGAGGGTTTCAGGCGCAGAGGGGCTCAGGGGCTGAGGGACAAAAGGGCAGAGGGGCAGAGGGGCAGAGGGAAAGAGGGGCAGATTGGAAGAGGGAAGGAGGGGTTCAAGGGCAGAGGGGTTCAGGGGCACAAGGGTTCTGGGGTAGAGGGGCAGAGGGTTCAGGGGCTCAGGGAAAGAGGGGCAGAGGAACTCAGGGGCAGAGGGCAGAGGGGCTCAAGGGCTCACAGGAAAAGGGGCAGAGGGGCAGAGGGACTCGGGCAGACGGGCAGAGGGGTAGAGGTATTCAGCTGTAGAGGGGTAGAGGGTTTCTGAGGTAGTGGCGTAGAGGGATAGAGTTGTTCAGAGGCAGAGGGGTAAGAGGCTCAAGGGCTCACAGGCAGAGGCTCAGGGGCAGAGAGGCAGAGGGGTAGATGGGTGGAGGGGTTCAGGAGTACAAGGGTAGAAAGTTACAGGGGTTAAAAAAAAGAAAGTTACAGGGGTTCGGGGTAGAGGGGTAGATGGCTAGAATGGTAGAGGGGCAGAGGGTTTCAGGAGTAGAAGGGTTCAGAGGTTCAGGGGCAGAGGGGTAGAGGTGTTCAGGGGAAGAGGCATAGAGGGGTTTAGGGGTAGAGGTGTTCAGGGGTAGAGAAGTTCAAGGGTTTAGAGGTTCAAAGGTTTAGGGTTTCAGAGGTAGAGGGGTCCAGGGATAGAAGGGTTCAGGGTTAGAGAGGTTCAGTGGTTCAGGGACAAGAGGGGTAGAGAGGCTCAGGGATAGAGGGGTTTAGAAGTCCAGGGGTAAAGGGATTCAGGGGCAGAGGGGCAGAGGGATTCAAGGGCTCACGGGCAGAGGGGTAGAGGGCTTCAGGGGCAAAGGGCCTCAGGGGCAGAGGGGTAGAGGGGCTCAGGGGTAGAGGGTCTCAGGGGTTCAGGGAAAGAGGGGTTCTGTGTTGGAGGGTTAGAGGGGTTCAGTAGTTCAGGGAAAGAGGGTTTCTGAGGTAGAAGGGTACAGGAGTAGAGGGGTTCAGGCATAGAGCGTTTCAGGGGTAGAGGGGTTCAGGGGTTCTGTGCTAGAGGGGTTCGTTCAGCAGTTCAGGAGTACAGGGTTACAGGGGCAGAGAAGCAGGGGGCGAAGAGGGACGGGGCAGAGGGGCAGATGGGCATAAAGGAAGAGGGGTTCATGGGCAGAGGGATTCAGGGTTAGAGGTGCAGATAGGTTCAAGGGTAGAAGGGCTGAGGAGTTCAGGGATACAGGGGTAGAGGGGTAAGTGAGCAGAGGGGTTCAGGGGTAGAGGGGACTCAGGTATACAGGTGTAGAGTGGTTCACGGATTCAGGGGTAGAGGCGTAGAGGGGTTCTGGGGTTCAGAGGTAGAGGAGTATAATGGTTCAAAGGTAGAGGGTAGGTGGGTAGATGGGTAGAAGGGTTCATGGGTTCAGGGGTAGAGGGGTTCAGGGGTTCTCTGGTAGAGGATTCAAGGGGTCAAGGGATTCAGGGTTGCAGAGGTAGAGTTCAGGAGTACATGGGTAGATGTGTAGAGGGGTTCAGGGGTTCAAGAGAAGAGGGTTTCAGGGTAGAGGGGTTCTTGGGTACAGGGGTAGAGAAGTTCAGGGGTTTAGGGGTAGAGGCGTAGAGGCATAGAGAGGTTTAGGGGTTGAGGAGTAGAGGGTTAGAGGAGTTCAGTGGTAAGGGGTTCAGGTGTACAGGCGTAGAGGGTTTCAGGGATTCAATAGTAGAGTGTTTCAGGGGTAGAGGGGTTCTGAGGTACAGGGGTAGAGAGGTTCAGGTGTTCAAGAGTAGTAGTGTAGAGGGGTTGTGGGGTTCAGGGGTAGAGGATTATAATGGTTCAAGGGTTCAAAGGGTAGAGGGGTTCAGGGATTCAGAGATAGATGAGTCAAGGGATTCAGGGGTTCAGGGGTTCAGAAGTACATGGGTAGCAGGGTATAGAGTTTATGGGTTCAGGGGTTCAAGAGTAGAGGGTTTCAGGGGTAGAGGGGTTAAGTGATTCAGGGTTAGAGGCACTGAGGGATAGAGTGGTAGAGGGTTTCAGGGGTAGAGGGCTAGAGGTGTAGAATGTTTCAGGGGTGGAGGGGTAGAGGGGTTCAGGGGTAGAAGATTTCTGGGGTAGACAGGTAGAGGGCTTCAGGGATAAAAGGGTAGAGGTGTTCAGGGTTAGAGTGGTTCAGGTGTACCGGGGTTGAGGAGTTGAGGGTTCCAGGGGTAGATGCATTAAGGGGTAAGAGGTGTTCAGGGGTTCAGGGGTTAGGGGCTCTGGGGTCGAGGGGTATAGGGGTTCATGGGTAGAGGGGTAGAGAGATGCAGGGTTCAAAGGGTTCATGTGTAACAAGGTTGAGGGGTCCAGGGGTAGATGTGTAGAAGGGTAGAGGAATAGAGGGATTTAGGGGTTCATTGGTAAAGAGGTTCAGGGATTCAGAGGTAGAGGGGTTCAGGGGTAGAGGGGTGGAGGGTTCAGGGGTAGAGGGCCTCAGGGGCAGAGGGGAAGAGGGACTAAGGGGAAGAAGGGCAGAGGGGATCAGGGGAAGAAGTGCAGAGGGGAAGAGGGGCTTAGGGGTAGAGGGCCTCAGGGGTAGAGGGGCTCAGGGGCAGAGGGTTCAGGGGCTCAGGGAAAGTGGGACAGAGGGGCTCAGGGCAGAGGGGCTCAAGAGCTCATGAGCAGAGGGGCAGAAGGGTAGAGGGACTAAGGGGCAGAGGGGCTCAAGGGCTCACAGGCAGAGGGGCAGAGGGGTAAAGGGATTCCGTTGTAGAGGGGTAAATGGATAAACGGGTACAGGGGTTCAGGGATAGAGGGGATCAGGGAACCCATTTACAACTGAATCCCTCTACCCCTGAATTAGTATGCCCCTGAACCTTCTGCCCCTCTTCCACTCTGGCCCTCTGCCTCTGAGTTTCTCTGCCCCTCTCCCCTGAACCCATCTACCCTTGAAGTGCAAAACCCCTCTACTCCTGAAACCCTGAACCCATTTATCCCTGAACCCCTCTACCCCTAAACTCCTCTATCCCTGAATCCCTCTACCTGTTACATCTCTACCCCTTAACACTTCTACCCCTGAACCCCTCAAACCCTCTACCCTTGAACTCGTCTACCCCTCTACCCCTGAAACCGTCTACCCCTCTACCCCTGAACCCATCTACCCCTATATCCCTGAACCCCTCTACCACTCTAACCCCTTAACCCTGAACCCCTCTACCACTATAACCCCTCTCACCCTGAACCCCTCTATCCCTCTACCCCTGAACCCATCTACCCCTATATCCCTGAACCCCTCTACCACTCTAACCCCTTAACCCTGAACCCCTCTACCACTATAACCCCTCTCACCCTGAACCCCTCTATCCCTTTAGCCCTGAAACCTTCTACCCCCTCTACCCATCTACCGCTCTACTCCTCTATCCCTGAACCCCTCTACTCCTGAACTCCGGAAGCTTTCTTCCCCTGAACCCCTCTGCTCCTGAAACCCTCTGTCCTGATACCCTCTGCCCCTTTCCCCCTGAGCCTCTCCTCTACCTCTGGACCCCTCTACCCCTCAACCCCTTTACCCCTCTGCCCCTGAACCTTTCTGCCACTGAACCCCGCTACCCCGAACCCCTCTCCCGCATTACAACTGAAACCCTCTATCCATCTTCCCCTCTGACTCTGCCGCTGTGCCCCTCTGCCCCTGAGCCCCTCTGCACCTCTTTCCCTGAGCCCCTGAGCTCTTCTGCCCCTCTACTCGTGAACTCTTCTACACCTCTGTGCATGAAGCCCTCTACACCTCTACCTCTGAACCCACGAACCTCTCTACTTCTATACCCCTGCACCCCTCTACCATTTTACCCCTCTACCCCTGAACCCAATCCCTCTACCCCGTACCCTTCTAAAATTGTACCCTTGAAACCATCTACCCCGCTACCCCAGAACCCTTCTACCCCACTACCCCCGAACCCCTCCACCCTTGAATCCCTTTACCCCTGAAACCTTATACCACTCTAAGCCTCAATCCCTCTGCCCCTCTGCCCCTGAGGTCCTCTGCCCCTGAGACCCTCGGCACTTCTGCCCCTAAACGCCTCTGCCCCTGTATCCCTTTGCCCATCTACCCCTCTGCCCCTCTGCCCCTGAGCCCCACTGTCCCTCTACCCCGAGACCCTCTGACCTTTAGCTACTATGACCCTGAGCCCCTCTGCCCCTCTGCCCCTTGGCCCCTCTGCGCCTGTACCCCTCTGCAACTCTAGCCCTCTGCGCCTTTGCCCCTGAGCTCCTCTGGCCCTGAGCCCCTCTGGCCTTGAGCCCCTCTGCCCCTTATTCCCTGAGCCCCTCTGTATCTGAGGCATTGTGCTCCTGCGCCCCTGCGCCCCTGCACCCCTGGGCCCCTCTGCCCCTTTCGCCCTCTGCTCTTCTGCCCCTGAGCCCCTCTGCCCAACTGCCCCTATGCCACTGAGCCTCTGTCCGTGAGCCCCACTGCCGCTGAGTTCCAGAGCCCCTCTGCCCCTGGGGCCCTCTGCCCCTGAGCCCCTCTGTCCCTGGGCCACTCTACCCCTGAACCTCTCTAGCTCTCTAATTCTGAAACCTGCTCCTCAACCCCTCTACCCACGATACCTTGACACCTTCTGCCCCTGAACCCCTGAATCCCTCTGCCTGTCTGCCCCTAAACTCTACTCCTGAACCCTGGAAACTTTCTACCCTTGAACCCCTATACCTCTGCATCACTGAGGCTCTCTACCCCTGAACCCCTCTACCACTTTACCCATGAACCCCTCTACCCTTTTATCCTTGAAGCCCTCTGCCCTTGAACTCCTCTACCCCTGAACTCTTCTACCCATGAACCCCTCTACCTCTGAACCCCTCTGCTTCTAAACCCCTCTGCCCCTCTACCCCTCTGCCTCTCTGCCCCTGTGCCCCTCTGTCCCTCGACTCCTGAGTCCATCTGCCTGTGATTCCCTCTGCCCCTGAGCCCCTCTGCCCCTGGGCCCCTCTGCCTCTCTCTCCCTGAGCCCCTCTGCCCCTGAGCCCTTCTGCCTCTCAGCCCCACTAGCCCTCTGTCCCTGAGCCCCTCTGTCCCTGGGCCCCTCTACTCCTGAAACTCTCTAGCCCTCTAACCCTGAAACCTTCTACTCCTGAACCCCTCTACCCCTGAAACCTCTCTGCCCCGAACCCCTCTGCCTATCTGCCCCTAAACTCTACCCCTGAGCCCCTGAAACTTTCTACCCTTGAACCCCTCTACCCCTGCACCACTGAGGTTCTCTAACCCTGAACCTCTGAACCTGTCTACTCCTAAACCCCTCTACCCCTCTACTACTTTACCCATGAACCCCTCTACTCTTTTACCCCTGAAGCCCTCTACCCTTGAACTCCTCCACCCCTGAACCCCTGAACCCCTCTTCCCCTCTTTCCCTCAACCCCTCTGCCCGTTTAACCCTGAACTCCACTGCCCCCATCCTGAACCCCTGAATCCCTCTACTTCTGAACTCTTGAACCCCTCTTATCCTGAACCCTTCTACCCAAGTCCCTCTACCCCTGCCCCTGAACCTCTCTACCCATGAAACCCTCTCAGAACTCCTGAACCCTTCTATCTCTGAAACCATCTACCCCTGAATTCCTGAAACCCTGAGCCCCTGAACCCTCTATCTTTGAAACCCTCTACCTCTGATCACC